GTGGTTTTGTAGACCACATGTCAATTGCTTGTCTAAAAGTGTAATGAATGAACATTTGTATTGATTAGTACGTGGGATGTCTTGGAATCAACACATCGATGAAAAGTCTGGATTTTGACACCCGATCTGCGATCGCCAAAGAATGCATTAACAGAGTCTGCGAATTGGGACGACTCAAGACACCCGACAAGAAGAGACGCCCAGAGAAGCGAATCACAAGGATGTTAGCCGACAATCCAAATATGGGTAAAGCATTCGCTAGAAATGCTCACATTTTGTTGCCCTTTATTCAATTTGATTGAATCTAATCGGTGTATAGAGTGTGCCGGCGCTGACGTGAATCTAGTGATTACCAGCGGTTACTTGCATTTAACTGTCATCGAAACTGGAGAAAATATCGCCAGACATGAGATGCCGAACATATCTTTTGCTTCAGGAGGCGATGCCGTACGTAATGTCCACTTCATGTGATATCATTGAACTAATAAAATGCATATATTTTAGGATACATTGGATTTTGTGGCTTACGTGGCGAAGGATCACCGCTACGGCAGGGCTTGCTTTGTACTCGAATGTGGCGGAGGTCTCGCTCAGGATGTGATCACTACAATAGGACAGGCAGAGTCGTCTGAGCTCTGGAGGTGTGGACGCAAACCCGGGTCTCGCGGTTCCCAAACACGGCCGCAAAGAATCGGAGGACGAGTTCGACCAAAGATATGTCAATTACTTCAACCGCAAAGACATCGATGGCTGGGAAATAAGGAAAGCGATGAACGACATGCATGGCATGGATTTAGTGCCCGAACCCAAGATCGTGATCGCGGCGCTCAACGCGTGCCGTCGGGTCAACGATCACGCCCTCTGTGTCCGCTATTTAGAGGCCATCAAAATGAAGAGCAGTAGTCATCCAGAGATGTACGCCTATGTGATCCAAGAGGTGAGGCCAACGCTCGACGAGTTGGGCATCAGTACACCCGAGGAGATGGGATACGGAGAGCCGGAGTTAGCGCTCGCCAACCCTTTCGATATGCATTAAGACTTGTATTTAACGATAGATTAGTTCAACAAAGCGTTAGTTCCGTTACACAAGTCATAAAACAAACAGAAAATGTCTTTATTTTAAATTTCTTTTAATGAAATGATTGTTTTTCTCGTAAATATATAATTATTATTAATCACATGAAAACTGAAAAAATATTACAAATCTGTGACAAAAAAACTTAAAATAAAAATAAATTAGATTAATATTTAACAAATTTATTGACTTTTTTAAACAGTTTTGACATTCAATTGAATCAATAAATCTGATAAATAAGATGAGACAATGAATGTATTCGTTGTCACGAAATATATTTAATGTATAAACAAAAGTCACATTTAAATTAAAACAATAAAATTATGTTTGATTTCTCAAATAGTTAACTAATATCCAGACAATACAACTGATCGGCGATCAAAATAAATATTTTACAATAATATCTCATTTGATAAAAATTTGTTAAAAGAGGCACTCATTATATCATTTATATATCATTTACGGTACTTATACTGCATATCATATTTAAATATATAAAGCATTTTTTAAATTAAAACATTTTGATTCTAATGACAGTTAATGAAAATATAATACTATTTTTATGAGTCAAGAATTGGCACAAATTGTGAGATTCAGACAACCGATGATAACGTCATTCATATATATATTATTCAATTGTAAAACAAATCTAATCGATGGCTAAAAGACTCAACGCTTTACGAATACAGCATTTCGTAGAACGAGAGCGCTTTCCGCCGAAATGATAGGCAGACCATTGTTTCGGTGATAATTAATGAGATGACTAACGCTCTCAAATGTCTTGTCTTTTGTCCGAACCTATTATTCAAAGAGACAATCAATGCATTTAGTATTCAATAACAGACAAGTCATGTATAAGACATACCACTCCTTCGGGATCGACTAAAAGTAAATGCTTTCTAATTCCACTTTGCATTCCAGTCAACACATACTGTCCGGCAGAGCCCTGAGACTCTCGCACCAAAAAATCTCCATCTTTTACAACCAGTGTTTCACTGTCTTTGCGACTAATGGGTCCGTGAAACCAGTCCTCCCCTTCCAGTTCACTAATAACACTACTTTTTGAATGAGAAGCAACTCTTTCCGCACTGTTTGCCGGAGTGTCCAATACTTCAGCCAAAGCGCTATTGAAGGGCTCTTTAAATTGAATATTAAATTCAAAATGAGTACAAATAATTCAATTAACAATCAATTACTGATTGCATACTCATATCGAAGGGATCTTTCGGTGTTAATTGTGTCGATGATTCGGATAGCGGTTCGGCTTTGTTTTGATTGTCATTTGATGCCTCAGCGGCACAATTGACGTATTGGTGCTCTGATCGCTCATTTTGCTGACAATCAGATTCTGTTTGTGCAGTACTTGTTGTTTGTGTACTGTTTCCTGTGTTCTGCTCTTGAATATCAATGTTTAGGTCAATCAGATTAGGACTGTTTTGTTCACTAGTCTTTTTAAGGCCAGTGCGTGGGGCCGCCTGTGGCACAGTCTGTGCCACCCTTTGAATGGTCGAGCCTTCTTTGGCGGGCGCCATATCGGGTGCGTCCCCTTTGGGCACTTCGGGCGGCATTTTTCCCGGCAAATCGTTGTAATAATCCCGATCTTCCGGCAGATTCTTAGTGTCCGTGTCTTGGTTTAGATTATTAGTCGCATTCAATGAGTTGGAACCGTTGGCAACAGACGACTCCAGTCTTTCATTTAAACAAACAAATCGATGTTTAAATAAAGTTATGAATCAAAATATAAAAATATTTCTACCTTTCATTAACTGACAAACTTTTGGGACTTCTTTTAAGAAATTCTTTAAACCTGAGTTCAAACGCCTGTCCTATTGTAGTGATCACATCCTGAGCGAGACCTCCGCCACATTCGAGTACAAAGCAAGCCCTGCCGTAGCGGTGATCCTTCGCCACGTAAGCCACAAAATCCAATGTATCCTAAAATATATACATTTTATTAGTTCAATGATATCACACGGAGTGGGCATTACGTACGGCATCGCCTCCTGAAGCAAAAGATATGTTCGGCATCTCATGTCTGGCGATATTCTGTCAAATATTTTCATCATTACATAACAATTGTTGAAAACCAATTCAATAATGACTCACTTCTCCGGTTTCGATGACAGTTAAATGCAAGTAACCGCTGGTAATCACTAGATTCACGTCAGCGCCGGCACACTCCATATTTGGATTGTCGGCTAACATCCTTGTGATTCGCTTCTCTGGGCGTCTTTTCTTGTCGGGTGTCTTGAGTCGTCCCAATTCGCAGACTCTGTTAATGCATTCTTTTGCGATCTGCGATCGGGTGTCAAAATCCAGACTTTTCATCGATGTGTTGATTCCAAGACATCCCACGTACTAATCAATACAAATGTTCATTCATTACACTTTTAGACAAGCAATTGACATGTGGTCTACAAAACCACTATTCCAACTAAATTGATAATTTGCTAGCATTTGTTAAGCACCTTGGTCATTATTTTCAAATTGTTTCCTATATCTATCAATTAAAATAGCTTTGGCCGTATAACCATGGTTGCGTTCGTTTTCAATAAGTTTATGCTCTTTATACAGTGCTCTTTATACAATGCGATATATACCTTGGCGTTCGTTTTTTGGTCATTGGAAAATTAAAACATAACTATTAATTTTATTAAAATAAACTATATCAAAATATTTATTGACCATATTCTATTAACAGATGGTAACTAATATCAAACAACAAACAACTACAATAAAACTATCCAATTCTACTGCTTCTCTGATTGGCTGCCTGTCTCTCTAAAATAGATTACTATTTTTGTCATAGCTTTGACAATGCATTCGTCTCCCACTCTCGCTTTATCACTCGCCCTCTCTCTCTCTCTCTCTCTCTCGCCTCTCTCTTCCTCCCATTACCTCTCAATTGAATGAATAGTGGAGGCATACAATTGAAGACATAACAATATCCGAGCTATTGGGCACTCTACACCTAGACCACTTATGTTTTGGGCAAAATGACTTCAGGGTCTTATAGCCAGATATGTGAGGACAAAATGGTACATTGAAAACTTTTCTCAAATGTGCCTGGTTATATGAGTAATTTAGTGCCAAAGTTGACTTAATTTGAATATACGATAGCATTAGACAAGCAGTAACTGTAATCTAATCGGTCTCCGGGCGACTCAAATACGGTTCCATTTTGTCGTCGGATAGTTTAGTTTCGGGCAATCATTTCATTGCAACCAAATCTTCATTCAAAAAACATTTACTCGAAACACATTGACTAAAATTATATTTATTCGAAAGACATTTTCTTAAATGATATTTAATTGACTGACGTTTACTTGAATAGTATTTACTATTCAAAATACTATTACTCGATCGACATTCACTCAAAACACATTTACTTGAAAAACATTTATTAAATATACATTTAAATATAGATGATTATATAAAAAATAAAATTGTCTTTTGAGTAAATGTCTTCTTACTGCCCTTAATGTCTCTTATTGCCCCCATCCTTAGATGCGAGAGAGAGAGAGAGAGAGAGAGAGAGAGAGAGAGAGAAGCGAGACAATTATAGTACCGTATTTAGATATAACCTAAACTATTTATAAATATATTTGAATATTTTTCATTTGTTGATGATTTTCCACTAACAAGCCATTCCTGGCCCTCTACCATGTATAGCGCTGAATGACTGCTTTTCGCAATAACCCACATCTTATTTACCCACAACTTAAAAGTTTTTAATGTTAGATTTAATAAATGCTTAGATTCTCAATACATATGTTATGAGATATAATTTAACTGAAATGTATGAATGAATGTCTAAAAGAGTGTAACATTTTAGCCCACATTTGGTATTATTGTACAAATTTGTAAATTCATTGAAGTTTTGAGATTTTGGTGTGGGTTTGGCTCTCGGTTTGGCTCCCACTCAATACAACCAATACACTCAATACAAGAGACACTACAACTCAACTTCCGGTTCAAACTTTTGGCGAACGGATGAATGAATAACAAAAGCAAAGAATCGGTTGGCCTTCAAATTGGCATAAATACAGAATGATCTCGATTTTGACACACCGCATTTTAACAGATTTCGATTTTAACAGTTTATTTTGACAGATTTCGATTTTAACACTGAATTTTCTGTGCCTGTATATCAATCAATGTTTCGATTATAACACATTATATACAAAATGAACCTTTTATGTTGAAATTGTTGTTTTATATCAATTCCTGTTAAATATAAACTAGAAAACTTAAAAAGGGTCTAACAATATACAAAATCATTAAATTAAATAACAATAATGTGGTTTTTATACATATAAAGCCATTTCCGATTTTAACAGAATTCGATTTTGACATATATTTTTTACTGCCCAGATGACATGTTAAAATCGAGATCACTCTGTAGTGTTAATAAATATCAGGAATGAAGGGTTTCTTTTCATTAGAAAAACTGATTACACAGTAAAATACATTTCATATAATTAATGAACATTCATGATATTTAATAATATTAATTTATATGTTTTGTTAATACATATTATGTTTTTCAAATAGTTTTGCTATCATTTCCTCTAGAATTCATTTTTTCCGATCAATTTCTCGCTTCCGATTCATTCAGCGCTCAATAGTTAAGCAAATTTTCAATACAAATATTTAAAAATTCAGTTCAATTTCTCACATAAAACAACATTTCGATCGATAAGTAATTGTAATTATTAGGCAATAAATATTTTCTCATAAATCAATGTTTCAATAATCCTTGCAATCAATTTAATTGCTAAATAAAAAGTATTTTTTATATTGAAATACATAACAAAAACTTTAATATGAATACATATTTGTATTATTATTACTTTTATAATAAACTGATAGTAATATAAACTAAATATAGAAAGATTTAGTAATGCGAGACTCAAAGCGTTGGTTATGTTAAGAGACGTATAGGTTATGAATAAGTTTAATGAATGGTTAAGACGTTGTGATGTGTTTAAGACCTTGTATTTAAGATTCAAGAGGAAGTGGTCGTCATCTTCTCTCACAATAATCTTTGAGGCATTAGTTTTAAATGTAAACAAAATAATAAGTACAGAGACTTTTGAGAAGTTTTATAATAGTAATAGTAAGTCAAATATAAGTAGCACTGCTTTGCGCCAAATTGCGAGAAACACTCTCTCACTCTCTCCGAGAAAGACTTGAATTAATTTGCATTTCCATTCGTGAGGACCCGGGAGTCTACACTATATACTACACTCACAACTGCCATGTGTTCATTGTATGTCTTATACTATGCGTCCCTTTCATACACTTATTTCCCTGAGAGACCGGACACTAAAGAGAGGCATTCAGTGATGGCTATGACTAACCACCGGAAACGCTAAATGTCAGCAATTTTATCAAACATTACACTTAACTTCACAAACGCTTTATTTCATCTCAAATTCGCTACAATTAGCCATTGAGTCCATTGTCTGCCTCTTTCTCTGTGTTTCTCATTATTAACAAAACTAATTATTTCTCAATTACTTTTTAAGCCTATTATTAAATTTATTACAATAAAAGCTGACTTTTACTATCATTTATATTTCATATTAAATGATTGTACAATAAAGAACATCACCACTAATTGGTGAATACATGACTCTAGAAATCAAATATGATTTCATTTGATAAATTCAATCATATCTCCAAAGGATAACAGAAACTTGTTTGTAAGACATGACATGACGTACCCGAACAGCATATGCGATGCCTGTGTCTGCGATCTGTTGGTCGGGATGGAGCCAACCTCTGGCCGGTTTGCTGATGAAAGCGCCCGATTTGTTCCAATCGGCGCCACACGAGCCCGATGTGGATGAGGTGGAGGGCAGGGGTGGCACTGGTGTTGTGTTTTGAACTGATTGCGAACCATTGCGCTCAACACTGGAGGCAGAGTTGGAGGCATTGAGGGCACTGGCAGTCAAACTGGTCTCACGAGTTGGATTCGATGATACATTACAAACATTATCTTCGTTTAGAGGACTGGAAAGCGTATCACTTGTATTGATTGATGAGAACTGTACTTTGTGTCGGGGCATAATCGATGCTGAGCTACAACTCAAGCCCGGGTGACTCGTCAGTGGACGTGGAGGGGGTTTAGGCGATAATTTAGGCGATGGTGTGGGCAATGGTTTGGGCAATGGTTTGGACGATGGTTTGGACGAGTGTTTAAATAGTAGAGAACAACACTTTGGACTCAGACCTAGACTTTTACAATGAGGGGGTTTAGGAAGGGGTGGCGGCGGCCCTACACTTCCACTTTTGTACAGTATATGTGGATTTGATTCGGTGGTCGACTTTAACTTGTCGTTCAAATGATTGGATGTATTGTTGATATGAATTAAAATTTTATGATTATTATCAGTGGATTCACTCAATCTATTGATCGATTTGACGGGAAGTTTGATATATCTCTGCTCCAGAAGTGCCGAAGAGTTGGCTTCGTTTGACTTACGGATCACCTCTTGTTGTAAATGTAGTGTTGTTTTAGGCATTTCAAAATGCGAGAGACATAGCATTGGGACAATGGTTTGTATGGCACCAACACTATAAGCCATACATCCTGTACACTGCACTACACATCTTTCATTCACACCCAACCATACACTGCAAACTGGAGGCATCTGTCACTACAACCACTGCCACCACACGTGCACTCACTGCGCATGTCTTATGGGTGTAAATCCAACGTAAATATAAATGGTATGTATACTTAGGGTTGGCAATATGACAAACCATTATTTTAAGGTGTATTTTACATACGCAAATTTTTCATTTTGTAAAATACATCAAAAAAAGCTATTGGTAAATTTTTTTTGATATTTTGCAAAACTTGTTATTTGTGAAAACGAAGATTATAATAGTAATAAAATTTTAATTAAAATAATATAAATATTGCAAATATTTTTGATTTTTCTTAAAACATAAATTAATTTCTATATTTATAAATTTTGGAAACATCGAATTAATTGTCGAGTGTGAAACAATTAGTGATTAAAATGTTGTAAATGTATCATTAATGTCATAATTGCAATAAAATTGGCCAATTTTTAGTCTTAAAATATGTTAATTTTTACCCCATAGTAAGTAAAAATACATGTCAAATACGTGCATTTTTGTATTTTACAATGTAAATTTTTTTGGCTCCAAAATTTTTATTGTAATTTACCAACCTTATGTATAATTAATCTAACAAATAAACTAAAGCACAACACATATGTGTAGTAAAAATATAGTAAAATAGTTGATGGGATTAGTGATAAAAGCAACACTGCCAACTAGTGTGACCAGGTGGGAAAATCATAATAGTGTACAAAAGCTAAAATAGTGTACATGATATTTATTTCAAAATTTTGACGTAATTATATTGATATTACATTACTTTATATGAATGAAATGCAAAAATACAAACACATTGACTGACAGTGTATAATGCAATGAATTACACCCAATGGCAACTTCAATTATCCTCACTTTGAAGTCAAATCCATAAACAGTATAATTGAATAGAATGTCAAACTCCGGAAGAATGGTATGTATTGTTGGATGTGTTGGCCGAAGACACAACGCTTGGCGACACAATGACTAACGATATGTTGTTTGCTTTACAGCCAAACGGTGTGAATGGTAACCGAGTTCTGGCCGTCGGGCGCCGAACCAACACAGCTCTGGGCCGACGACCGCTCGCCGTATCGATGAGAACCAATAAAGCCGTCAACGAAAACGCTGTCCGAACCGACGCTAACAACGCCTTTAAAGAGGTATTGAAACGCGAAGTGAGTCGACGTGTGTTTGCCATTGATTTGCATGAATGCTAATTATGTAATGCTTTGTCCCGAAGGCGGCCTCCAATAAACCTCTCCGATTCAAGGCGTCCAAAACTGTGGCCGTGAATGACGAGAACGCGGAGAACGCAACGGTTCCCGCGGCTGAGAAGTCAAAGATCCCGATCGGCGACAAGAAGTTGGCTCTGAAGAAGACTAAACACTTCAATTATCTTCACTTTGAAGTCAAATATAAGTATAATTGAATAGAATGTCAAACTCCGGAAGAATGGTATGTATTGTTGGATGTGTTGGCCGAAGACACAACGCTTGGCGACACAATGATTAACGATATGTTGTTTACAGCCAAACGGTGTGAATGGTAACCGAGTTCTGGCCGTCGGGCGCCGAACCAACACAGCTCTGGGCCGACGACCGCTCGCCGTATCGATGAGAACCAATAAAGCCGTCAACGAAAACGCCGTCCGATCCGACGCTAACAACGCCTTTAAAGAGGTATTGAAACGCGAAGTGAGTCGACGTGTGTTTGCCATTGATTTGCATTAATGCTAATCATGTAATCCTTTGTCCTGAAGGCGGCCTCCAATAAACCGCTCCGATTCAAGGCGTCCAAAACTGTGGCCGTGAATGACGAGAACGCGGAGAACGCAACGGTTCCCGCGGCTGAGAAGTCAAAGATCCCGATCGGCGACAAGAAGTTGGCTCTGAAGAAGACTAAACCTAAGGAGGAGCCCGTTGTCGAGCCAATTGCTCCCCAAAAGTTAGGCTTTTCGTCACTTCTGTTAATCCCACATAACGTGGAGAACATTGACTCCAATGACGGCGATAACGTGTTTCTCACTCCCGATTACGTCAATGAAATCTACGGCTATTTGAGACAATTGGAGGTATGTCTGGAGAGATTGTACTTGAAGTGTGAACCCATTTAAGCTTATAATGCATTTGATTGTTGCAGAGCGAGCAGACAATCCGTTCCAACCACTTGTCCGCCCAGAAAGAGGTGACACCGAGAATGCGGTCCATATTAGTTGATTGGCTGATTCACGTTCACCACCAGTTCAGACTACTTCCAGAGACGCTATACCTCGGCATCTCTATTATGGATCGATTCTTTCAGGTATTGTCTCCCATAGTATTGATGTAAATGCAAGTAATAATAATAATGCGATTACAGAGAGAATTGATAAGCAAAGAGAAGATCCAATTGGTAGGCGTGACGGCCTTCTTCATCGCCAGTAAGTTCGAAGAGGTGTATCCGCCGGACATCAAAGACTTTGTGATGATCTGCGATAAGCTCTACAATAAGAAGGATGTGATCAAAATGGAGTTAGCGATCCTCAAGAGTCTCAACTTCGAGTTGGGCCGACCCCTACCCCTTCACTTCCTGCGCCGCTTCTCGAAGGCAGCGCACGCCGACTCTCGCATCCATTCACTCGCCAAATACTTAATGGAGTTGACTTTAATGGAGTACGAGTGCTCTCATTGGCTGCCCTCCCTATCGGCCGCCACTTCACTCTATGTAACTCTCAAAGTATTGACTGAAAGCGACGATTCAGCGCTCAAATGGACGCCAACGCTTGAGTTCTACTCGACTTACAGTGAGGCTCAACTCATGGCCAGCGCTTCAGCCGTTTGTAAAATAATTATTAAATCTGACAGATCTAAGTTTCAGGTATTTTTTGAGTTACAATCTCTATATTTATGAAATGACTGTTTATTAACGTTAAATGTGTTTTTGTTTGCCAACAGAACTGTCGCCAGAAGTACTCGTCGTCCAAATTGATGCAAATCTCGCAAATACCACAACTGAAGGCACCGATCATTGCGGAGATGGCGGCCTTTCAGTGCTGAACATTGTTCAGTGAATAACCACTTAAAACATTAACTTTTATAATACTTTTATTGCTTTTATTTTTCTAAATTGAGTCTTTGATGACTTAATCATTCGCGTATTTTTTAATTCATAAGATTTTAATAAAATGTACTCTTATTAGCAATTTGAACAAAATTTGCAAATTTCCATACTATAGAAAAACATTAATAATTTTTGTATATTTATCACTATATTTGTAAAAAAAGTCACTCTATGTGAACGCAATTGTAATGTCCAATAAATAATCCAATGGTTTATATTATAATCCAATTATAATTAAACGTTATAATTATGCCAAACATTGTGTTTGAATTGAAAAATAATTATTTATTCAAACATTTGAAACAATATTTACAATGAAATTAAGTGCAAAGAAAGTACAAAAATAAGCGATTGAATGGACTGTTGGAGTGGATATTGTGTTAACATTTATAATATAACGTGTGGTTCACTATTCGGCCAGTTCTGCGGTGAGCTGTTCCACTTGCGATGGCGGCGGACCCGATAGCGTGACCGGCCGTCGGAAGAGCAGTATATGGGGCTCGGGTTCGTGGATCATGTAGTGGATCCATCCCTGCGACTGTTGCACTCCCAGACCCCTCCACTCCGCTTCCGACATGAGGTGTGTCTTCGGCACCATCTTTGCGATGTCTTTGGGCAGCACTACATGTCTTCGGCACACAAAACAATCAAATGGTTAACACATTTCAATCAAATAGATTTGAAGGCATTGTTATTATTGTGAACACAAACCTGTACTCAAACTTCTCGTCATAATATTTATCGGAATAATAGATGTTTTTGTGAGACATTGTGTGGACACGGCTTGTGGTGTCGGCGAAGAGCACTAAAGGGTGGACCAAATGGTGGATCAATTGCTTGTAATAACAATTGGCTTCAAATCTAATAACGTATTTATCACTCGTTATGACTATTTCTGCGCCAATACTTGCGTTCAATGCTTACAAACGGTTCGCGCCATTGGATAACACATCTGTATAGAGGTGTTGGCCGTAAGAGTAGAGGAGTGGGCCGTGAATGTGACGATTGAATTGATGAATGAAATGAGATCATAATGTATGAGGCATTCGAGTGTATCAACCAATGAGAAGGGCGTCCATTCAATGGTGAATTGTGAATGGAGGTAGAGTTGCCATTGGGTGTAATTCATTGCATTATACACTGTCAGTCAATGTGTTTGTATTTTTGCATTTCATTCATATAAAGTAATGTAATATCAATATAATTACGTCAAAATTTTGAAATAAATATCATGTAAACCTCTTTGACGATCAGTTTATATATTTTTTTAGGCGGCCGTCATTTATGGCAAGTCCCAACTTAACAGACATTTAGGGTGACCAGAAAGCATACATTGAAAATATAGATAGCAATTAAAATGTTTTTAGTAATAGAATTTATAAACTTTTGACAATTAATTAGTTTTTCAGATGATTCACAAAATATAAAATTATTTTACTTTTAATTCATTTTATGTTATGCAATGCCTATTTCTATTAAATAGGAAAGCTATCGCATGTTTGTTCGTAATGCATAATTGAAAAGGCAGTCTAAGGAGTACTGTGTAGTGATGTATAATA